GTCTTGAACCCGCGGGCTCAGGCAATCCACTCACCTCAGCCTCCCAAGGCGCGGGATTACAGGCTGAGCCACCGAGCCTGGCGCAAATGACCTTTCAATCTGTGCTGGGGAGCGGTGACTAAAATCATCCCATGAAGATCAACTCTGATGCCACTCTTTGAGGCTGGATGGCTTTGTTTTATGCATCTCAGTGCAGAGTTGGGGAGAGTGGTGCATGATGCTCGTTTTCCCTGCCTATAGGAAGTTCTTTGCTGGCGGAGTGTGTAGAAGTGAGGTGCAGCTTCCCGGGAAGGTGGTGGTGATCACTGGCGCCAACACAGGCATCGGCAAGGAGACAGCCAGAGAGCTTGCTCGCAGAGGTAAGTGTTTTCACTGTGGCCTCCAGAGGGCCGTGCCTCCTCCCCTTCTTCCCACCATGAGCTCTGTCACATTTCCTTGTCTTTTCTCCTGGGCTTGGAGGCTCTAACTAGGAATGCGAGGCACCTGGGATTCGAGTCCAGCTGTGTCACCAACCTACTCTGTGGTCTTTGCTTCTTCCCTGTTCCTTTTTGATTGTATAAAGCAAGGAAAACAATGATATCTGTGTATGATCCTGGTCAAGTCTGTTGTTCTATGAAGCAGTTATTACATATCGGAGTGTGAAACCAGGGTTCCCAGTCTGGGTTAGGGCTGACAGCAAGGAGACTGAGCATTACAGCTGTGGGAAGCCTGCAGTGGTAGTATAGCTACTCCAGGGGTGACAGGAGAACACCCTGTCCTCCAGGCCCAAGCTCACTCGCAATGCCTCTTTTTCAGCCTAGGGTCTGAACACCCCATTCTCTCTTTGTCTCGGCCCCAGGAGCCCGGGTATACATCGCCTGCCGCGATGTGCTGAAGGGGGAGTCCGCTGCCAGTGAAATCCGAGCAGATACAAAGAACTCCCAGGTGCTGGTGCGGAAACTGGACCTCTCTGACACCAAGTCCATCCGGGCCTTTGCTGAGAGCTTTCTGGCAGGTGTGGCCCAGTGGTAGCTGGGAAAGCAGGAAACCAGGTGTGGGAATGGCAGCCCCACCCTGACCATTGCTGGCCCTTACATCAGAACCATCAAGGATGCCACGGGACAGGTTCTGCTGCATGAGCCAGCAGGACAGGGAATTGGCAAGGGGATGGTGGGAGGACAGGCTGGGCAGGTTCCTTATCGTGATTTTGCCTCAGCAGTGGGAATGTTGGAGGTGTCAGCTCCCTGTCTGGGCTTGTACCCTGCCTGGCATCAAGGTGTGGCCATGATGCTAGGCTCTTCTTTCATCCTGAGAATCCACTTTCCATGGCCATAGAAACTAGAGGGAATTGTGCTGCTTCCAAAATTCTTCTGAGTCTTGGGAAATAATTAGCTTTGACCAAGATCTCTGAAATCCATGAGGCACATGCTGGACTCATTTCACCACAGATTCCTAGTACCCTGCAGAATGGGCCTGGTCCATAGTTGGTAGTCAGGACATTGCTGAATAAATGAATGAATGCCTCTATTCTCAATGCTTTGGAAGGGAGCCAAGGTGGGAGCCCCAAGGTGGGGCTAGGATTTTGAGACCAGCCTGGGTGACATAGCAAGACCCCATTTCCACAAAAAATCTAAAACAATTAGCCAGGCATGGTGGTGTGTTCCTATAGTCCCAATTACTTGTGGGAGGCTGAGGTAGGAGGATTGCTTGAGCCCAGAAGTTCAAGACTGCAGTGAGCTATGATCACACCACTGTACTCTAGCCTGGGCCACAGAGTGAGACCCTATCTCAAAAAATAAAAGTTAAAAATAGGTTGGGCACAGTGGCTTGCACCTGTAATCCCACTACTTTGGAAGGTAGAAGGGAGAAGATTGCCTGAGTCTAGAGGTCCAAGACTAGCCTGGGCAATTTGGTGAGACCTCATCTCTACAATAAATAAATAAATAATTAGCAGGCGTGGTGACGTGCACCTTAGTTCCAGCTACCTGGAAGGCTGAGGCAGAAGGATCGACTGATTATAGTAGGTCGAGGCAACAGTATCTGTGAGTGTGCCACTGCATTCCAGCCTGGGCAACAGAGTGAGACTCTAACACATAAGCACAAAATAAATAAAATGAAATAAAAAATAGGCCCGGAACTCTGGCTCATGCTTATAATTCCAGCACTTTGGAAGGCCAAGGTGGGAGCATCACTTGAGCTCAGGAGTTCAAGACCAACCTGGGCAGCATAGCGAGACCTTGTCTCTATAAAAGCAATTTTAAAAAATTAGTTGGGTATGGTGGCACATGCTGGTAGTCCTAGCTACTTGGGAGGCTGATGCAGGAGGATTACTTGAGCCTGAGAGCTGGAGCCTGCAGTGAGCTGTGATTGTGCCACTGCCTTCCAGCCTGGACAACAGAGGGAGACCCTTACTTAAAAATAATGACAATAATAGTAGACGAACGAACAGGAAGATATGAGAAACCCAGTGACAATGGTTATTGGTTATCACTAAGATAGGTCTAAAGCGGTGACAGTTATTGACAGCTAAGGCAATACCTTGTCTAGGAAAAAGGAGCAGAGAGAGTGAATCCTACTGAAACCTCACCCCAACAAAGAGAGCTCACAAAACAAGACAGGGGGCCAGTAGTCAGGACTGGGCTAGGCAGCTTGCAAACTCCCTACTAACCATAGTAGGTCTTCTTGGTTGTATTCTATAGAAGAGAAACAGCTCCATATTCTGATCAACAATGCAGGAGTGATGATGTGTCCATATTCTAAGACAGCTGATGGCTTCGAAACCCATCTGGGTGTCAACCACCTGGGTAAGTATCTTTGGGTGTCTGAAAAGTGATGCACACCCCACCTTCTTCACTGCAGGAAGATGGCCCTATACAAGTACTGAGAATTTCCAGTGGTCCTCAGAATCTAGGATTCCATCAGACTGGACACATGGGTTTGTTGGTCACTGTTCGTCTCCTGATCAGTCTAAAAAGGTGACATCTTCCTGCCCATACCATTAACAAGCCCCACATTTCAGGAGATACCGGAGAGGAAAATGTCATTCTTGGATGGGGCAGTGGCAGTGCAAGGCTTGCAAGTAGGGCCAGGCCTGGGGATATGCAGGAGTCTGAGTTCAGCTAGAGGGGTCACATCTGTGTGAGGGGCAAGCCAGCCAGGGCAGACCTTGAGAACTTGAGGTATGAGGCAGGCTGGAGCTCAAAAGTTGAAGGTGATGGCTTTGGTCATGGAATACATCCTCTGATCCTAGGCAAATGTTACTCTCCCTGACTATTTCATCTTTCCTTCTCCACATGAGTGTACCTGGGCCCACAGTTGTGTGATCATGGCCAGAGGGCAGTTGGAAGCCAGCAGGTGGGCATTCTTCCTGACTAGAGCAGGGGCAGAAGTACAAAATAATATAGATTAAGTATTATTGCCTTACCTATAGCTTGGCTCTGACCCTTGCTTTGAGGAATCCGCTAACTCAGACCAACTGACCATTAGCCGAGTTTCCCATGGCATCAACATTTGTTCATACCCAGAAGATAGTGAGCTAATGCTGAAGTCCTGTCATGAGCTCTTTTACCCTGAGCCTGGGCTGCCATTTCACTCTTCAACCTCCCCTGATGGCTTTCCTCACAGGCCACTTCCTTCTTACCCACCTGCTCCTGGAGCTGTTGAAGGAGTCTGCCCCTGCCCGGGTGGTGAATGTGTCCTCAGTGGTCCACCACATTGGCAAGATTCGCTTCCATGACCTGCAGGGTGAGAAGCACTACAGCAGAGGCTTTGCCTATTGCCACAGCAAGCTGGCCAATGTACTCTTCACTCGTGAGCTGGCCAAGAGGCTCCGAGGTAAGTCTGGAGAAAAGGCCAGGGTTAAAGTAGCAAAAACAGAGTCCTCAGAAACTTCTGGAACCAGGTTGTCAGACATGCACATTTTAGTAGTAGCTTTGTGTGCTAAGGAGAATAAAGCTATCAATGGGAAGTTATCTTACATTTATGTCACATCTTGCCCTCCTCGCTCCCTCCTTCCCCCCCCCCCCGGTCAGAGTCTTCCTCTGTTGCCGAGGTTGGAGTGCAGTGGCACAAGCACGGCTCACTGTAGCCTCAACTTCCTGGGCTAAGATGATCCTTCTGCCTCAGCCTCCCAAATAACTGGGATTACAGGCATGTACCACCATGCCTGACTAATTTTTTGATTTTTGTAGAGACAAGGTCTTGCTATGTTGCTCAGGGCTGGTCTCAAACTCCTGGGTTCAAGCAATCCTCCTGCCTCAGCCTCCCAAAGTGCTGGGATTTCGGGCGTGAGCCACCATGCCTGGCCTCTCATTTGATTTTCACAACTCTTTGCAACAGGCAGAGCAAGAATTATTACTCTTATTTTGTAGATCAGAACTGAGGTCCAAAGAAAAGGCCAACTCAAAGCTATACAGTGAATGAAGGAGTTGGAACTGGAATGCCAGTGCTCTGCTTTAAATCCAGGGTGCTTGCCCAGATTTGATGCGCTATTTGCTGAGGTCCATGTGGTAGCTGAGTGACAGAGCTGCTGCTGCTTGCAGTCGGGGAGCTAAGGCTGAACACAGAGCCTGGGGTCCATGTTCTCACTCTCCCACATGCTAGCCCCCCATGCATGTGGACATGCCCTGTAGCTTCCCCTGCCTTCACCTCCTCAGCTATAAAATCAAGTAAGGCTAGCTCTCAAGCCTTCATGATCCTGTGCTCCCCTACCATATCAGGTGAGTTTCTGGCTCTGACAATGGTAGGTTTAGGGGACCATTTGCTACAGGAGATAAACCAGAGTTTGGGGACAGTGATTTTTACTATCAGTATGCCTAAGGTAGAAGAATAGGGTATCCCCTACCTTGAGGAGGTGAATCTCACTCTCTCTTTCTTCTAATTTACTTTTAAAATAAACTCTCTCTCTCTCTCCATATATATATATATTTTAAGTTGAAGTCTCACTCTGTCGCCCAGACTGGAGTGCAGTGGCATGCTCCTGGCCACCACAGCCTCGACCTGCTGGGCTCCAGCGATCCCTCCATCTCTGCCTTCCAAGTAGCCAGAACTACAGGCACACGCTACCATGCCCAGCTAATTTTTAAAAATTTTATCGTAGCGATGAGGTCTCACCAAGTTGCCCAGGCAGGGTCTCGAACCCATGGGCTCAGGCAATCCACTCACCTCAGCCTCCCAAAGCGGGGGATTACAGGCTGAGCCACCGATCCCGGCTATTAATAAACTATATTTTACAATCTAAAAAAAAAGAATAGGGTAATTATAAAATAAATAATGATCATTACATATTTCGTTACAATAATAATTGAGAGTTTTGTGTGTGCCACGCACTGCACATCTTAATTCATTTAATACTCATAACATTGCTATGAGGTGGGGGCTATTGTTTTTCCTCACTCTCAAATGAAGAGACAGGCACTGAGAGATCTAAAAATTTTCCCAAGCCAGTTCCCTAGCTGAACCAGGATTCTGATCCAGATGGTCTACCCCTGGAGTCCATGTTCTTTCCTTTATATCAGGGTTCAGACCTTGTCCCCACAGCCTGCTAAGTATAACCTTAGGCAATTCTCTTAACTTTTCTGTGACTCAGTTTCCTTGTCTATAAATGGGCATCTTAATATTCTACCTCACAAGCCTCTTTAAGAACTAAATGAGACATGGGTTGGGCGCAGTGGCTCATACCTGTAAATCCCAGAAGTTAGAGAAGCAGAGATGAGAGGACTACCTGAGCCCAGGGGATCAAGACCAGCCTTAACAACTTGGCAAGACTTTGTTTCTACAATAAATAAAAAAAACTAACTGGGCAAGGTGGTGCACGCCTATAGTTCCAGCTACTTGGAGGACTGAGGTGGAAGGATTGCCTGAGACAGCTGGTAGCTGTGAGTGTGCCACTGCACTCCAGCCTGGGCAACAGAGTAAGACTGACTTAAAAAAAAAAAAAAAAAGAATTAAATGAGATACAGCTGGGCACAGTGGCTAACACATGTAATCTTAGTGCTTTGGAAGGCTGAGGAGGATGAATCACTTAAGTCCAGAGTTTGAGATCAGCCTGGGCAACATACTGAGATTTTGTCTCTGCCAAAAGAATAATAAATAAATAAATAATTATTTAAAGAAAGAATTAAATGAGATGATACATTTAAAGCATGTTGCACAAATACATACTGAAATTAGTGGTGGCACTAGGGATGTTTTGGAGGACATGTTAACCCCCATAGTCTCTATCAGCACCCTTCAATCTATACCTCACAAGATGTGCTTGCCAGGCAGATGTAGCTCAAAACAAAGTTCTCTTGCTGGGTGTGGTGGTAATCTTAGCACTTTGGGAAGCTGAGGCAGGAGCATTGCTTGAGCCCAGGAGTTTGAGACCAGCCTGGGCAACATAGTGAGTCCTTGTCTCTACAACAAATCAAAAAATTAGCTGGGCATGGTGGCACATGCCTGTAGTCCCAGCTACTTGGGAGGCTGAGGCAGGATTGCCTGAGCCTGGGAGGTCGAGGCTGTGGTGAACAGTGATTGTGCCACTGCACTTCAGCCTGGGTGACAGACTGAGGCTCAAAAAAAGGTCCTCCTCCATACCTTCCAATCAGGTTGCTACCCCTGAGCTCCTGCTACAGAAATGGTGAAGAGACCACTGATATTACCTGATATGTGTGGTCATTTTTATGAATAGTACTTAAGCCACAGCATACAGGTGACATTGAAGTAGAAGGACCTTAAACCAGGCACTCCTTTTGGAGTATGGAAGACTGAGCAGGCTATAGGTTTTTCTGGAGGAGATCAATTTATTATTGGTCAAATTCTGCCTGGCTAAGAGTAACACCTGCTGAATCCTGGGGTTCTGTTTCCTGCATCCCTTCTCACGTGTGTTTTTGCTGCAGGAGACGAGCTGTTTTCCTGGGCTCAGAGTATGTACCTGGTCTCACTGTGCCCTCTCTGTCCTAGGCACAGGGATTACCACCTATGTGGTGCACCCTGGCATTGTCCGCTCTGAGTTGGTGCGACATTCCTCCTTGCTGTGCCTGCTCTGGCGGCTTTTCTCCCTCTTTGTCAAGACGGCGCGGGAGGGGGCGCAGACCAGCCTGCACTGTGCCCTGGCTGAGGGCCTGGAGCCTCTGAGCGGCAAGTACTTCAGGTGCGTGGGGGCAGCCACACTCTCTCTAGCACCGTATGCACCTGAGGCCCAGGCTGCACTGGGCTTTGCCCCCGAGCAGCTAGGTCTGTGTCTGATGATGCCATTCAGGTTTGGGTTGGGCCTGCAAACAGAATGCTGTTGCTTTTCCAAGGACACTTACATTAGAAACATGTGTGGAAAGGGTTGCTTATATGGCTCTATTTTATACCTGTGAGCTACGGTTCTGTGTAAGCTTTGTAGTTTTCTGAGAGCTATTAAAGAAGACCTTCCCTGTAGTTATGCCAGAAAGGATGTTAGGCCCTCTGGACCCCTTTGAGCTTTTGCAGACTTGATTCATGAATTATTTAATACCACTTAGCACCAAGTGCTGGGGGAAGGTCCTCTCAGTGTGAACTCTGCCTCCCAGTGCTGCCAAGATTGGCACTATCTGTTGAAATATAAAAGTAGAAATTTTAGTGCTGAATCTTATCACAAACTCACTGGGCAACCAATCACAAGCTCCTTCCTGATTCATGACTTAACCCAGCTGACTCTGCCCTGCTGTCCCTCTTTGTTCAAGTCGTTCATTGGTGCAGCATTTAAGTGAAGCTTTGGAAATAATCTTAGTGCCCAACCATAGGGGAATGGATAAATGATAATAGCTAGTGTTGCTTGAGCTTTTACAGTGTGTTTGGCACTCTTCTAAGTGTTTATGTGTATTAATTCACCTGATCATCTCAACTCTGAGAGGCAGGTAATACTATCTCCATGTTTCACATGAAACTGAGGCACAGAATAATTAAGAACTTTGCTTAAGGTCACTTAGCCTGTAAAGTGGTAGACCTCGGACTACAGCCCAGGCAGTCTGCCTCTAGGCCTGTGCTCTTCAATAGGGTAGCCACTAACCACATGTTGCTACTGAGCACTTGAAATATGACTAGTCCACATTGAGATATGCTGTAAATGTAAAATGCATTCCAGATTTTGAATACATGCAGGTTGAACATACCAATCTGATAATCTGAAATCCCAAATGCTTCAAAGAGCATTTCCCTTGAGTGTCATGTTGGCACTCAAGACGTTTCAGATTTTGGAGCATTTTGGATTTCAGATTTTGGGGTTTAGGATGCCCAGCTGGTAAGAATAATGCAAGTATTTCAAAATTCAGATAGATCTGAAATCCCAAACACTTCTTGTCCCAAGCACTTCAGATAAAGGATGCTCAACCTGCAGTATGAAAAAATAACTGTAAAATACTCATTAATGATTTTTTATATTGATTATATGCTAAGATGATTTGACTACATTGGGTTAAATAAAATAATGCAATATATATTTATTAACCCAATGTTTTAATGTATAATTAATACATTACTAAAATTAATTTCACCCATTTCTTTTTATTTTTCAAGTGCCGCTACTAGAGAATTAAAGATGACGTATGTTGCTCACATTTGTGGTTTACATCCTGTCTCTATTGGGTATTTGCCACAATAGAGTCTGTGTTAATGTCACTGCCTTAAGCACATAATAAAATACTACAGTCATTAAAAGTAATAGTTTCAAATGATATTGAATTAATAGAAAAATGTTGGTTATATAATATTGGGAGAAAAAACTATAACACAAAACTATGTAATTATTCATGTAAGTATATGGAGAACAGTCTGGAAGGATACCCAGCCACTGGGTAGCAGTGGTTATTTCTAGGGAGTTTGAGGGAGAGTCAGGCGGAGAGAGAAGGAGGATTTTATCTTCTTCTTGTAGGTATTTCTTTATTACTTAAACATTTTTAGAAGACCATATATTTATTTATGACTTGCATATTTCCAAAATATGTTTAACAAAAGAAAAATATCCTTCCCAAACTAGATACAGTATGATCCCAGTTTTGTATAAAACAAAGGGAGAGAATGAGAGATTAGATATCTATTTATACATGAACAAAGCCAAAGCGACTGTTAGGAGAGCAACTCAGTGACAGACTTTTCCTCTCTCATCCGTACTGTACTTTCCAAAGGTTATACAGGATTTTTATAATTAGGAAAAAATACTGTTAAAAAAAAACCCACTATGAGAACTGTGCTCTGGTTCCACCCCCTTGTCCCTCTAGTCCTCAGGTCCCTGCTCACTCCAGCATAAAGCAGGGGTACTCAGGCTGGGGCTCATGGGAGACAAGGGCGTCTGTGGATAGAATTCAGGGGAGTGTGAACCTGAGTGGGAAAATAATTTCATCTTTAGTTTCACTAACCTCCAACTGAAATCTAGCATTTCCTCCAATCATGAATGTGGGCAATGCACGGCAGTAGTTGTAGTCATACCTGTGACTCTGTCACCAAGAAAATGATCAATATTTTCGTATCACACTGCAGTTGTTGCAGATATCTCAGAAGGTCACTTCTACTAACCCTGCTTTGAAATCCACTGGTTATTAGGCCAAGTGCTAGATCTTGTCATAGAATACATTAATAAGAAGCCCATGCATTACTATATCCAAATTTGTTTAACAACTATATCGATGTATATACACATATAGTTTTTATGAGTCTATGAAAAGAAATAAAATATCTTAAAACTGCATTTCATATTATTAGTTTCCTTGAATCCAGCATATTACATTTCATACAAGTAAAAACATGTTCTGAAAAAGAGATCATATATGTTTCCCGACTGCAAATTCTCTTTCCTGAAATTAACCCTCTTTCTCTGCCTTTCAGTGACTGCAAGAGGGCTTGGGTGTCTCCAAGGGCCCGAAATAACAAAATGGCTGAGCGCCTGTGGACCGTTAGCTGTGAGCTTCTAGGAATCCAGTGGGAGTAGCAGCGGAAGAGCCACGGCTTTAGCAGGCCCAATCCATGCCATAAGGAAAGGGGACCGAGGAGAAGGCTGACCTTAAAGCACTGTCTTCCTGGCTGGCTGCTGTTGCCAGTCCTGCCAGCTCTGTTCCTCCCGACCCATCTGGGGACACTTGCATACCCCATCCTCTTGTGAGGCTGGCTCACGACATGAGATGCTCACACCTACAGAGCATTCTTCTCTGAGACCTGGAGAGTCGGCAACTCTCTGGAGGCAGAAGGACTGAGCAGATCCAGGCTGGGCATGGGGATGGCACAAGAGCCTGAGAAATTGGGTCAGTTTCCTCACCAGCACCAGAAACTCCAGCCTGTGTGCTCGCTGAGGTGACAGGTGCGACTGCATTGCGTAGTTTCAGGGTTGTACGCTCAAACGTTTGACCTCTTTCCTTTGTAAAATACTTGTTACCACCCTGGAGTCTGGACCAACTTGGGAAGATCCTGGCTAACCCTGGCCAAATTAGATTCCTTCCTCTGAGCAGCCTGGAACCACTGCTTGAAGCTGGGCCATCCCATTCTCAGTCATGCAGGTGGTTTTCTTTTTGTAAAAAGTTCCTCTTACTTCAGTTTTTGGAAAAAATAAAGACTATGCATTCATCTTGCTGCCTTATTTATTTTCTCAGGGAAGCAAGGGAGAAATGGAGTCAGGAAGGGAAGTCAGCCTTCTAGCTTTGGGAGTCGTGTCTCACCCCACCTGCCACCTACCTATAACCTACTTAGAATATTGCATCTGGCTGCAAAATAAGATGATCCACTTGGGCATTTTCTCACATTTCTTCCAGTGCTAGCATTTTGTTATCTAAGAAGTGATAAGAGTAGCTTAAATGACAGAGATGCTGAGTTCCACCACGGATTAAGACCGGAGGCAGGACTTCATTTAATTTGAGACCTAGATGCAGAAAAACCAAGCCCTGATAACCCCTCTCTCTAAATGCATAGATCTTTTCCCTTCTGGCCTCCCTGCTCCCCTATGCTGTGGCCCAGCTGACCAGCTTCTTGCCTTAAATGCTGAAGGTCACTAAGAAGAGGCAGGGAGATACGCCTAAACATTTTCAGTCAATTAACCCAAGAAGCCATACTTACTGACTCCAGTTCTAAGGCTTCCAAAGGGCATCTTGACAAAAATGTTCTTTTCTTATAGCAACTAGACTTCAAGAAAACTTTATATTTTCAAATAGACAAAAAGTGGTACCATGCATTTCCATGTACTCAGCGTGAACATTATTAGCAGTCTGTCAATCTTGTTTCCCCGATGACATTTTTTGAGGTGTGGGAGTAGGACATTTTAAAGATGTCATACCCTCTTCCCACAAATACTTTAGTGTATGTTTCCAATAAGAACCTTTGTTTTCTATAAAACCACAACACTGTTAACACTCCTAACAACACTAATCATTCCTGAATATCATTTAATATTTGGAGTTTGAGTTTTCCCATTAGTTTCACAATGTCTTTACTGTTGGCTTGTTCAAATCAGGGAAAGAGAAATAGTCCTTCTCAAAAGAGAGGGGCATTTCTTTCCAGAAGCCCCAGCAAATCTCTTTGTGGCCCATTCCCTGAACTGAATCCTGGGCTCTTTCCTGAACCAATCAGCGTGGCTGGTAGTGGGCTGTGTTCATTGGCTTAAGTCAATCACTACCCACACCTAGAACTGTGGTCCCTCCCGCCCACCTCACCCAGTGGGGAAGAATGGTAGCTAGTGTGAAGCACTTACATTGATCAGGATTAGATTTCCTCACAAGAACCCTTTGGGATAGGTGCTATTGTTGTCTCCATTTCACAGATGGGGACAATGAGGCTCAGATAAATTAAGTAGTGTCTCGAAGTTCATGCATCTGGAGTCAAGTAGTCTGATTCCAGAACCTACACTCTTTTTTTTTTTTCCAAGCCAAACCGTATCCAGCTTTATTAAAGATACTTTTCATAAACAATCATGGTATTTCAGGCAGGACATGGGCAGACAATCTTTAACAGTATACAACAACTTTCAAACTCCCTTCTTTAATGGACTACCAAAATCAGAAAGCCACTATAAAAACCCAATGAAGTCTTCATTTGATGCTCTGAACAGGGAAGAAGTTTAGAGTGAGGGTTGACATTTGACATTTAGCATGTTGTTTGACAACTTTTCATAAGCCGACCCTGACTTTCAGGAAATGAAATGAAAATGGCAGAATTTTTCTGAAGATCCACAATCTATAAAAGAAAACTGCTACTTTTATGAGGGGTGCCATCTCAGTGGCATCACTGACATACTGGTAACCAGTTATTGGGGGTCAGGTCCCAACTGATGTCTGGGTTTAAGGGAGTTAAGACTATGCTGAAGGCAGAAAGGGAGAAGAGGGCATAAAAAAATGAATGTTTTTTCCACACCACAAGGTGTTTGTACCAAGGTGGCTATGTGTGTCAACGTCGGGAATCCCTCCTCCTGGAAGCCAAGAGGAAGTCTCTTAAAACTAGCAGGGAAAGGTGTTTTCCCCACATCAATTCAGCTTTGGAGACATTCTATTAGTGACATATGCCCCTTTCCCAAAAAACAACAATGGAGTGTTCTGTGTGCTAACAACATAGCTTAACAAAAAAAAAAAATGCTGCATTTTTATAAAACTTGATAAAAAAATAGTATTTCAAACTGTACAGTCACCAGAAGTACACAGTTATCAAAAATGCACACACTTCACTTGGCATCTCCAGCACCTTCAGCTTTCTGTGCCTGGTCTGTTTTGGCATCTCCATTTTCTGCAGGGTTATTCCCCTCCTTGCCAGCATCGGCTTTTCCCTTTTTCCCTTTGGGTACCTTCTCTTCCTTCTTAGCTGGGGCCTTCTTAGGCTTGGGCTCTGGCTTTGGAGGAGCAGGTTTAGCAGACAACTTTGCAGATCTTCTCTGGGGTTCGTCCTTCACCTTGGCTTTATCTCCTTTAGCATCCCCTTCAGCCTTTCTCTTGGGCATGGTGGTGATGGCAGCGGAACTAAGGCGTTGGACGCGGGGATGGAGCGGCGCGTGGGTTTTGGTCGGTCCGGGGGTTGTTTTTGCCTCTTCTTCTTCACACTGCTCCCCTACACTCTTTTTTAAAAAAAAATTGTGTATACACTTTTATTTTTTTAGACTTTTTTTTCTTGATTTCAAACAGTTTTTGGTTACATGGTTGCACTGTATAGTGCACTGTATAGTGGCTTTAAGTGTACCCACCATTCCCAGCTGTGCATGTTGGACCTGATAGGTAATTTTTCATGCCTCCATGCCTTCCCTCCTTCTGAGTCTCCAGTGTCCATGATACCATTTTCTGTGTCTTTGCAGATCCTTGGTTTAGCTCCCACTTAGAAATGAGAACATACAGTGTTTAGTTTTCTGTTCCTGTGTTGGTTTGCTTAGGATGATGCTCTCCAACTCTGTCCAAGTTGCTGCAAAGACATTGTTTCATTCTTTTTGATAGCTGAGTAGTATTCCATAGTGTATATATATCACATTCTCATTATTCACTGATTGGTTGGTGGGCATTTAAGTTAATTACACATCTTTTTTTTTTTTTTTTTTGAGTTGGAGTCTCACTCAGTCGCCCAGACTGGAGTGCAGTGGCCGCTCCCGGCCACCACAGCCTCCACCTGCTGGGCTCCGGTGATCCTTCCACCTCAGCCTTCCAAGTAGCTGGAACTACAGGCGTGCGCTACCACATCGGCTAATTTTTTATTTATTATAGAGATGAGGTCTCGCCAAGTTGCCCAGGCAGGTCTCGAACCCGTGGGCTCAGGCAATCCACTCACCTCAGCCTCCCAAAGCGCTGGGATTACAGGCTGAGCCACCAAGCCCGGCTGTTCTGTGTACTTTTAAGAGCATTCTCTCCACAGCCATTTGCTATTGCTTCCCATAGTCGGGGAAGTGGCAAATACTCCCAAAGAAAAATCCAGTAACATGAATAGGCTCACAGAGGGAATAACACTGGGGAAGTACCATATATGTTCTCTGCTGGACCCTATAGTCTGTGCCAGTGGAAAGCCTGGTAAAAAATGAAGGGAAGATAGCTGAGGGGAAGAACCAGGAAAAGGCAGTGCAAGGATGGGAGACAGAACATGCAGGGCATTGATGAGGATCCTGGATATCTCCTCGGGCCGGAGGAGGAAAACCAGGGGCGTGAAACATGGACGGCAGGTGTTCTAGGCTGCTCGTGGTGTGAGAGTGAGGATTCACACATGTGCCAGGCACTCGTGTTAGGCCTCAGTACAAACAGTGATACAAGGCACCAGGTTTGGGTGGGGAGGCTTTGTGCTTGTCAGAGGGAGCTGGTTGTAGGGGAGGAAGAAAAGCCACACGGAGGCTGCAAGGAGCTGGCTCCAGCTGCCACATCTGGGCTGCCATAATGGTATAGTTATGGGTGGCACAGCGTTCTTTCTTTTTTTAATTTATTTAAGCAGTTCTAGTGTTTGGCACTTGGGCTATTTTTATTATTCTTATTTATTGTTTTATTTATTTTATCTTTTTTTTTTTGAGACAGTCTCACTGTCACCCTGGCTGGAGTGCAATGGCACAATCCCAGCTCACTGCAAACTCAACTTCCTGGGTTCAGGCGATCCTTCTGCCTCAGTCCTCTGAGTAGCTGGGACTACAGGCACATGCTACCACGCTTGGCTAATTTTTTCTAATTTTGTAGAGATGAGGTCTCACTATGTTGCACATGCTGGTCTCCAACTCCTGGGCTAAAGCAATCCTCCCACCTCAGCCTCCCAAAGTGCTAGGATTAGAGGCATGAGCCACCGTGCCAGACTGACATAGGGTTCGTGAATGAACCTGCTCTCAAGGCTGGGTTCCTCCACTTCTACAGATTTAAATATAGCCCTTTGTATTTTTTTTTTTTTTTTTGAGTTGGAGTCTCACTCTGTCGCCCAGACTGGAGTGCAGTGGCTGGTCCCAGCCACCGCAGCCTCCATCTGCTGGCCTCCAGCGATCCTTCTGTCTCAGCCTTCCAAGTAGCTGGAATTACAGGCGTGCACTACTACACCCGGCTGATTTTTTGATTTATTGTAGAGATGAGGTCTCGCCAAGTTGCCCAGGCGGGTCTCGAACCCGCGGGCTCAGGCAATCCACTCACCTCAGCCTCCCAAAGGTGCGGGATTACAGGCTGAGTCACAGAGCCTGGCTAGCCCTTTGTATTAATCGAAAGTTTTCTATAGAACATCTTATTCAGAGACAACAGAATTCGAACACATTCAAAATAGCGTTCCTTATGTAGATGGAATCCTTATATTATGTGTATTTAGAGTCCTTTGGGCTTTTACACTTTATATACCATACTTCAAGTTTGCCAGACTACTTGCTAGTATAATTGGCTTAAGGAAGGTCATCCTATTCTTGATTTGTGTCAGATATCTGAAATCTGAACATTTGAAAAACTTCTTTGTGTAGTCTCTAAGATCCTCGGAGACCTTGGGACCAATTACTAGGGATAGGGGACTAGTAACCAATGCCAAATGTTTCCTCTAGTCTGCTCAGCCTGGAGCAGGAACATGTGCCAGCCTTGACCTCTCGTCATGTTTCTGGAAGAGTCTTGCCCCAGTATAACAACTAAGCAAGCGACAGACCTTGGCCCTGCACAAACAGCGCTGGTAATTTGTGACTGAGACACTGTTCAACCTTCCTGGCTTGGTTCCCTGAGTTCTCCTGAAACCACAGAGGTTGTTTTTCTTCCATTTACTAGTGCTTAGATATGGATGTGCTTCTTGCCTTGGCATCTCTGGCTGTCCCAATTCCACTGCCCTCACTTGTCCTGACTTCTCTCAGGCTCTGAGACCCTCAGCTAGCCTAGCCTACGGGTGGAACATCTTTTCCCTTTAGCTCAGCTGAGACGGTCTTAAATTTGCTAAAAAAAAAACAAAACAAAATCACACTTGACTGAGAAACCAAAGGAAAAGGAAGTCAAAGAGACACATGAAAGTCAAGAAGCAAATAGTGCCAGAGTACAGATTACCCAAGCAATGGCTAGCTGCTGCAGATTACCCTGGTTGGCACCTGGCTCCTGTCCAGTTCAATTCCGTGCATTCCTAGCCCTGAGGAATACACCTTGAGCACTTGGCCTCTTTTAGTTTCAAGACAGAGACATCCACTTTGAGCGAGGTCAGGTCAAAAAAACATGGACTGTTTTGTTCATAAGCTGAAGGAAGGCTTGAAACTGGAAAGGGGGAAGGGTTGGGAATGTAAGTCAGGAACAAGTAGGACTCAAGCATCCAGCACTGCCAGACTCCTCCCTTCTCATGTGTGCCTTTCTCTGAATGTGGATTTTCTTTCAGAATAAGTAGCAAGAAACTTGGCTGTTGAAAATCCCCAAGCTTTATACCCATGATTTCTACCATTGAAGAATGACTGCTGCTATTTTCCATTTTTAGAATTTAAGAAACCTCAGGGGCCGAGCGCCATGGCTCACACCTGTAATCACAGCACTTTGAGAGGCTGAGGGGAGAGGGTTGTCTGAGCCCAGGGGTTTGAGAGCAACCTGGGCAACTTGACCACCTCTCTACAATAAATTAAAAAATTAGCCAGGTGTGATGGTGCATGCCTGTGATTCAAGCCACTTGGAAGGCTGAGGTGGAAGGATCACCTGAGCCCAGCAGGTCGAGGCTGTGGTGGCCATGAGTGTGCCACTACACTCCAGCCTTGGTGACAGAGTGAAACCCTGACTCAAAAAAAAAAAAGAAAAGAGAAAAAAAAAGGAAACCTCAGGTTTGGGTTTTTTTTTGCTCATTATGAAGCATTCAGCTGTGGTAAGGGGGGGAAGTGTCATATAAGAATGATAGCTGTAGAAGAGGTATTTCAAATCAGTGAGAAAAGCTTGGACAATGTAATAAATGGTATTGGATAACTAGATATCCCAGTGAAAACATAAAGTTAGCTACTGGCTTATGCCTGTAATCCTAGCACTTTGGGAGGGTGAGGCAGGAGGAGTGCTTGAGTCCAAGAGTTTGAGACCAACCGGGGCAACATAGTGAGGCCCATCTCTACAAGACACAAACAAAAATAACCTGGGCATGGTGGCGCATGCCTATAGTCACAGCTACTAGGGAAACTGAGGCTCACTTGAACCCAGGTTCAATTTGCAATGAGCTATGATCCCACCACTGCACTCCAGCCTGGGCTAGAGAGTGAGACTCTGTCTCAAAAAACAAACAAACAAACAAAAACAGTGGCATAAACAAAACAAACAAAAAAAGAAAACAAAGTTAGATTCCCTATATTATACCATTCATAAAAACAAGTACTGGATGGACTAAAAAGTGAAAAAAAAAGTTGTAAAAGTGTTAGAAAAAAATATGAGAATATCTGTAAGCCCTTGGAAGAGGGAGGGCCTTCTTAAGATATGAAAAGCAAAAAGCATATGGGAAAAGAGGGATATATCTTTTAAAAATGCCATAAATAAAGTTAAAAGTCAAGTGACATTGGTGAACATATTTGAAATGGTGTTAGGTCAGGTGTTCCGGGAATCAGACTTTGAGACAGACATTTGCAAACAGAAAGTTTATTGGGAGCACTCTTCGGACCAAGATGTATGAGGGAGTGAAGGAAGCAGGATTGGGCAAAGGGTGAAGTTGAACTGCAATGCAGTCGCAACAAAGGTTTATACAATCCCATCCCCCAGGGAACTCTGGAGCTAAGCTATTCTGAATTGAGGGAAGGAGGTTGACCACCTTTATGCATCCACAATGACCAGTCTCTGGAAGTGTGCAACTTCCAGGGAAAGGACATGACCTGGCAGCTGCAGACATATATACATATAATATACGAGTATTTATATAGATAATAGACATCAGACAAAGGAGTAGTAGCCATATTACAGAAAGAACATCTTTTCAATAAGAACAAAATAAAGAACCCAACAGAGAACTTTGCAAAAGTGTTTTGTTTTGCTTTGTTTGAATTGGAGTCTCACACTGTTACCTAGGCTGGAGAGCAATGGCATGATCATGGATCACCACAGCCTCGACCACCTGGGCTCAGGCAATCCTTCTGCTTCAAATTCTTGAGTAGCTGGGACTACAGGCACGCACCACCAC